TGTGTTTTAATACATGTATTATTACCAGGAGCTAAGATAATATAAGGAATCCTATATAATATAGGATCCTATATTATCTTACTCCTGTTATTACTATAGTAACCTAACTGTGTACACTCTCTGAAAAGTCATGAAAAGTGTTTTGAATTCCTAACTTGTTAGGGTGAGTCTAAGGGTTGGCAGATAGTGTCATCAGACATGAGAATATGGCCCACAGTATGCCTCAGATTGCCAGGAAAATGGCTTAAATATTTCAAAATTTTCTGGGGGGGGGGGCATGCCCCAGAACCCCCCTAGCACTGGCATGCCTACCGCGCACGCGGATCTGCCTCGGCAGGCCAAGTGTTAATTTCGCCCCCGGCTATCGCCGATCACCCCCCCCCCACACACACTCCTCGGTACGGATTTACGCCCCTGATCAGTGAGGCCTAAATTTGCAAGAGTCAAAAATATTGTCAGAACGTCACGCTTTCTAACCGGTCATCCCTGCATAAATACATCATAATAAAAAGAGTAGCATAATATAACTTTTTTAGATGTTATTATTATTACTCTTGATAATAATACTGCAACCTCAGCTACCGAACCGAACCGCCACCACAACATACTACAGAAGTGAGCAAAAAACTATTTTTGTTATTGTATGCACGCGCCTTTATACCTATACTAAACATGAATAGAAATTGGCCACTGCTATTTGTGTCGTTTTTAGGTTTTAAACGTATTGATTTGTCTGTCATTAGCAGCAAATGAAGTCGCGCGCCCATTCAATCATATATATAGCAATATCGATCTTCTATTCTATATCTATGAATTCAAAACTATATCTAGCTTCACTACCTGTTTAGCTAATCTGCAGCGGCGTGCATGTTGCCACATTAGATAGATCGTCATACTACCTGTATTGCCTCGCTAACAAACGCTAACCACCTTTATATGAGCTGAAGGCCGCAGCATGCAATACTTTACGTGTCTCGTCTATGACGAGTCCTTTCATGCGATAGTCGGGCGCAGAGTTATGCTTGATATTGTAACGCTGTTTGTCCTAGCTACACCAGGTATAGCTAGGTCACCGAATAACATTGCTGGCTCCGTGGACAAGTTATTGCGCGTGAAAGCTTTATACCTTTAGCATGCATGACACCTGCCAGATGTATACTGAGCGCGAATTTTAGTCCAACTCTAGGCCTAACTCAAGTTAACACGAAAGAGAGAGAGAGAGAGAGCAGAGAGAGAGAGAAGAGAGAGAGAGAGATTAGCCGGAGAGAGCAGAGCAAATAGAGCTGAGCACGAGAGAACGAAAAGAGGGACACCTTTACATGGCGGAGAATGAGACAAAATTTAAAGCCGCTTAACTTCTAGCGATGACGATCAAGCTGATTAGATCTAACGCTAATTCTGTGCGCAATCCTACCACCCCAACTCTGTCATCCACTTCAACTCTATCACTAATCGTAGCTGTTACCGTATCCTAGCACACCCAAAACCCTCACACATAGCCTAGAGCTGAGCTACACGACACGCGATGTGTAGACATTGTTGGTCGACACACCGCCTGCACCGGGCCTCGTATTTTGGTCGCTTAAACGTTATATTGATCTAGTTTTTATATTGATCTGTTTTTATTTACTGATGTTGATATATATATATATATATATATATATAATATATATACATATTTATATATATATTACATAGAGAGAGAGAGAAGAAGAAGAGAAGAAGAAGAAGAAGAAGAAGAGAGGAGAGAGAGAAGAGAGAGAGAGAGAGAGAGAGAGAGAGAGACGAAGAGAGAGAAGAGAGAGCGTGATGAGAGAAAGAGAGCGAAAGAAGAGAAGAGAGCGAAGAGAGAGGGGGAGAGAGATTCTTTCATTACACGACCTAACGACGACGCATCAATCGATTCCGATGGTGGCGAAATTCGAATGCCAACACACATATTAGTTTATACTAACGACCTTGGGTTCATAGTTCGCGGACACACTTTGCGCTATTACGCGCTTCATCGCGCTACTTTCCACGGGCGCTTACTTTGGCCCCAGGCCGTCGACGTCATCACTGCAGCTGGCACGTGACGTGGGCGCAAGTCGCCCAAAAGGCGTGTTTAACTCGCGCGGTTTCCGTGACCTCAGCCCGCTAGTTAGCACGCACATCTGACTGTTCATGGCTACACGCGCGGCGTCGTGCAGCTCATTGGCTATGATGCAACAAGGTTTGACAGCGTAGTCAACGTATACAGAGTCACAATCTACGAGAGATTACATCGACAAAGAAGTACTCTTACTTTTACTCGGCACTCAGCGAAAATATAGAAGATATGTCCGACAGTGATATAGTCCGTGGATATACTACTCTACGCTGAGGTTATGTACGTAGGGATTGGCACGCGGACGCTCCCCGAACCGGACACACCCGCCTAACTGAGCCAATCAGCTACCGAGCTGAGTTGCCTAGCTGAAAGACCCAAGCGCAACTATAATTATTATCTTTCAGCTCTTCTTTACCATGTTTTTTATGCATCAGCGTAATTCGCGCATATACTAGCTCATGTAAACCTTAGTGCAATTTTTTTTACAGAATGTAAGTACTAATCGAATCCGCTGCGTTATCGCGGAATTCTTGATAGATCTGATATATTTCCATTTCCCTAGATAGTAATATTTTTTTTTATATTGGTATGCAATTTAATGTACGTCTTGTGCTATCAAAGATGGAAGCTAGGTGCGAGCCTGTGTGTGTGTTTGGAATTTCTTATGAGGACGGGCAAATAGAGAGCACATGATACGTTCTTCGTATAAACAACAGCAATAATGATAGTTGTTGATTTTGTTTCGCGTACGAAACGATTAGGGTGACGAACACATTTTAAACGATCGCTTCGTATTTTTACTATTCAACGTGAACGCGTTACTAACGCGTTGTCAGCATAGTACTGTTATTCTACGGAACTGGTGTTAGTTTGTGAAGAAAACTTCCGTCGAGAAATTAAATCCAGGTCGCGATCATGTCACCACTGAGGCATATCGCAAAAATCTCACAACTAGCCACCGTCGATATCATGCCCGTGACCTGTTTACAAGTGTACGTATATATATAATATCTATCTATATATATATATATATATAAATATATATGTATATTTAATTTATATATGCATTTCCTAGGTGCAGTAGTACGAATCGCATGTTTGTGCAGCGAATTACGATCCACTGTCTCCGGCGGTTGGGCAAATGTTGCAATAGTGGTTCAATTCATGCACGCCCAGTCACAGGCACTTGGAGCGTTTCAATAAAATATAATGCTAAATAAATAATGCTCTATTTACTACCAAAGTCTTAATGTTTTTCTACTCTCTTTCACCTATTATTGCTGACAATTTTCCTGTAAATGACGTCCAAATGCTCATCTGCAACACACTGCTCACACCGCTGGGCCGCCGCACGCTAGCTACTGCACACTGACACATAATGTCTGATTAATATCAGGACTAGATAATAGGGAATTTCCCTATTATCTACTCCTAATAATATAAAGTATATATATATACACACTGTCACTATATATTTATGTGTCAGTGTGCAGCAGCTAGCAGTGCGGTGTACTTGTGTGTTGCAGATGAGCATTTGACCGGCATTTACAGGTGATTATAGGCGAAATAGAGTAGAGAAACATTAATTAAGACTTTGGTAGTAAATACATTTCGTGTTTATTTACCTTTTTTATTGAGACGTCAAAGTGCTTGATTTAGCATTATATTTTATTGAAACCCTCCAAGTTCCTGTGCGCCCAGTCGGTCTATATCTTAAGGATACTCTCAAGGTTTTACGAAAATTTTTACCGATTTTTAATTTTCAACTTTATTGATGGCCTAATTACACTATGTGCCACCTGTGTACATGCTCATTTCTCCATATAACGGTACATGTGAACTGTCAGAGCGTTTTCTTGCCCGCGTACATGTGTAGTGAGCCGCGACTGACGTCAGAAAAACCGCTGATTTCTCCGTTCCAATTTCTGACTTAGCTGATTACGACTCGGAATAATTTATTTTACACTCGTTTTAACGGTAACATATTGCTGTAAAAAAGTGCGTCAGGTATTGTTATTAAGTGCCGTATTTATGAGTTATGTCTCTTTATTCGCAAAAATTTTTAAATTCAAACGTGCGACTTGAATTTAGGCAGTTTTTAAAATTTTGCTCGGTAAATATAAAACTTAAAGAAAAATCCTGATGCACTATTTTGGTACATATTGTGCTTAACATGTGGCGAAAATTTTGTATCCTCACTCTTTCTGGTAATTGAGAAATATCCAAAATACCATTTTTACATAAAAATTCAAAATTTTTTGTGGTAACAATTAGGTGCTGGAAATTTCATGAAATTGTTTGCCTTGAGCATAGAGATACATCTCCTCTATAAAGAAAAAACTGATTGATTCGATTCATTCGTCAATAAACGTTTAATCTTCATTAGAGCAATACCCGTGCAAAAGGTTGAGAGTATCCTTAATCTTATTTACGTTTCTAGTGCATATTCACCACACGCGAACGCACAGCGCGCGCGCATGCACCACACGATGATTAATACGCCCCTGCCGAGCAAATTGCCAACATTGAAAAACGAACCCCCCCCAATAGAAAGCTGGCTACGGGCCTGGTTACAATACATAGTAATAATAATTATAATGTATAGACAATCCGTCGCACAGCCTGGTCGGGCTAATAGTAGTATAGCAAAACAAGGACCACACAATGTCAATAAGTGTGCTAGTCATGCTTTTTGTGTATATATCCTTGGTAGTTATCAAATTTTATGAATTCAGAATTTTATTGTAAAAGTATGCTATATTGGATGGATGGATGGATGTTGGATGGATAATTGCCTTTAAAAAAAAGGAAAAAGCCGTGACTAGTCGCTGTCTGGTCTTGCCTAGAGGCGACATCTTTCGGAAGAAAAAGTTCCCTCTGCGCAGCAAGGGCGCTGCAATCGCTTGGCCTTCGCTGAGCCATCGCGTACACAACATCAGCGTCAGCAGTAAACTACATAACATCAACTTATTTTTGTTGTTTTTGAACGTCGTATGCACGGATGTTCTAAATAAGTACCACTGTAATGCAAGCAGTGTGAGATACGTGATACCATCAAGATAAGTTTGTGAGTGGCTGTTACTGGTACTGGGTGGTGAAAGTGGTCTAGTGTCGTGTGTTGTGTGGCAATGTGAATGTTATATTTTCGACTTTCTATTTTGATCATGTACTGTACTAGTGCATCGATGGCGCTGCATGAAGCAGAGTTATGATGGCGATCTCCGATCTCTATGTTGATTGTTGTTATTAACGTGTAATATCGATCTCTCACCACTAAATACATACGACTATTTAAGCCATATCTTATATTATTATAATCTCGTGCAGGTCACAACCGTTTCAATCACATGATAACCTCGCATACATGAACTAGTTGGCAAAGTTATCGAAGCTGATACATGTATGATGTAGGTCAGAAATTGTCACAGCTAGGCCTACTGACAGACCTGACACTGTGTAAGCACTAGAGTAGAGATACAATAATGTAACCCAACAAGAGTGTAGTACCTTACTCTTGTTGGGTTACATTATTGTATTTATGCAAGCACAAGTGTGTCATTGGATTTCAACACATCTGGCTTGCTGAATTCAGGGTTTACAAATACAAGCAATTATTTGAGCTGAGCTTACAAATTTGTAAAAATCTCATTACCCGGCCACTTGTGTTTCACACTTGCAAAGAATTCTTGGTATAAATTTCGGTCGTTTGTATTCAGCAATTGACATTGTGTTTGCACATATTTCAGGTTGATTATCTGTTGAACAGAAAAGGCTATCATTAATGTCAACAGAATAATTTGAAAATGACGACAAGACGCACTGTTACTGGATCCCGGACAGAGGTAAACTATATATGCAAATAAATGTAGGATAATCCATAGGGATGTAACAATGCATTGAAATTTAGATTAACTGAAATAGTAAGTACCTAGGTAACAATGCGTTGATGACAAACATATATGATATTTTAAAGCTATGGTCCAGCAAGTTCAGTGATATTTTTTTGACTTTCGTTAATGGTGAATTAAACATAATTTCTGCTAGATATGGTGTGGGTGTTAAGTTAATTTATTGTTTCTAAGGAGAATGTCAATTGTAGAATTCATGGCCCATGCAAGTCCTCATTGCCGCGTGGTTGACACCCTTGTAGGCAGTGCATGTTTCCCTATATTCAGGAGTTGATTTCAATGTCACATCTTAATTTACAATGTTCCAAGTAACTCAAAAATGTATTGAACCTGATGTCCCGATGATCGATTATAATCGAAAGTCAGTTGTTTGCAGCAACCGACTAAGCGCTCGATTATGAAAATATATAATCGATTGTGAAAAAAAGACGACAATACTTACCACATTGTTTGCTCAGGAGTTTATTGACTGACAAAATATTTTTTGCGATATGCCTCAGTGGTGACATGATCGCGACCTGGATTTAATTTTCTCGACCGGAAGTTTTCTTCACAAACTAACACCAGTTCCGTAGATAACAGTACTATGCTGACAACGCGTTAGTAACGCGTTCACGTTGAATAGTAAAAATACGAAGATCGTTTAAAATGTGTTCGTCACCCTAATCGTTTCGTACGCGAAACAAAAATCAACAACTATCATTATTGCTGTTGTTTATACGAAGAACGTATCATGTGCTCTCTATTTGCCCGTCCTCATGAAGAAATTCCAACACACACACAGGGCTCGCACCTAGCTTCCATCTTTGCATAGCACAAGACGTACATTAAATTGCATACCATATTTACTATCTAGGGAAATGGAAATATATCAGATCCATCAAGAGTTCCCGATAACGCACGGATTCGATAGTACTTACATTCTGTAAAAAAAATTGCACTAAGGTTTACATGAGCTAGTATAGCGCGAATTACGCTGTGCATAAAAAACATGGTAAAGAGGAGCTGAAAGATAATAATTATAGTTGCGCGTTGGTCTTTCAGCTACAAACTCAGCTCGGTAGCTGATTGGTCAGTTAGGCGGGTGTGTTCGGTTCTGGAGCGTCCGCGTGCCAATCCTACGTACATACCTCAGCGTAGAGTAGTATATCCACGGACTATATCACTGTCGGACTATCTTCTATATTTTCGCTGAGTGCCGAGTAAAAGTAAGAGTACTTCTTCGTCGATGTATCTCTTCGTAGATTGTGACTATGTATACGTTGACTACGCTGTCAAACCTTGTTGCATCATAGCCAATGAGCTGCACACGCCGCGCGTGTAGCCATGAACAGTCAGATGTGCGTGCTAACTAGCGGGCTGAGGTCACGGAAACCGCGCGAGTAAACACGCCTTTTGGGCGACTTGGCCCCACGTCACGTGCCACTGTGCCAGCTGCAGTGATGACGTCGACGCCTGGGGCCAAAGTAAGCGCCGTGGAGAGTAGCGCAGCGCGTAATAGCGCAAAGTGTGTCCGCGAACTATGAACCCAAGGTCGTAGTATAACTATATGTGTGTTGGCATTCGAATTTCGCCACCATGGAATCGATTGATGCGTCGTAGTTAGGTCGTGTGATGAAAAAATCCCCCCCCCCCCCGTCTCTCTCGCTTTCTTCTTCTTCTTCTTCTTCTTCTTCTTCTTCTTCTTCTTCTTCTTCTTCTTCTTCTTCTTCTTCTTC